TAATTAATTAAGTATGTACTTTGGTAATTTTTTGTTTTCTGATTGCCTCCAGGAAGATGTGATCAGGATGTGGTCTTCCCTTTTCACTCTTCTATGTGACAGCCAAACAACACCAGTCGGGTAGAAAACAAAGACAAAATCAAAATCAAAAACAGAAGCGGAGTTTTCCGATAGCAGAAGGGAGGCAACACCAGTCGGGTAGAAAACAAAATCAAAAGCAAAGTAAAAAACAAAAGCAATGAGATAAAAACAAAGCAAGACAAAAAACAATAACAAAAAAGAAAGGACAAAAAAAAAAAAAGGAGAAAGAATTCAGCATCAGAAAAATCAATGAGATTAAATAAGGCAATCTCTAGTCACACACACAAAAAGAAAGAAAGAAAGAAAAAAGAACCTGTATAGAGTTTCTAAGGAGCAGCTGGTGGGCATGAACCACCGACCTTGCAGTTCAAAAGGCTCTGCAGTCTGGTCCCTTAACCTGCAGAGCAAAAAGAAGAAAGAAAAAAAAGAAAAGACCCTGTATATGGTTTCTAAGGAGCAGCTGGTGGGCTTGAACCACCAACCTTGCAGTTCAAAACACTCTGCAGTCTGGTCCCTTAACCCACAGAGCCACAGCTGGATTGCCTTGTTGTTGGTGGTAAAAACCACCTCAAAGTGTCTCCGCTTGTGCCTTGATGGGCAGGCCTGAGTCTCGGAGGTTGGGCAGAGGGCTAGCCTAGGTAGAGGGTGGGATTAGTGGCTGCTGGAAGATGGCGTCCTTGTCTGACATCATCAAAAAATGCCTGTCTCCCTGCGCCGTGGGCACCCAGCCCGCACTACATCCACGAAGACAACGCCTCCTGTGGCAATGAGGCCCCCAACCCCTCATGAAGGACTGTGCCAGCCTGTGGCCCCGCCGGCTCTCCGGGCGTGTCCGCCCTCCGAATCGGTCTGCTCAAGCCCTTTGCTCCAAGCTCCGCAGTGAGTGGGGTGCCTTCCCAGAGAGGGAGCTGAGCGAAGGTCCAAAATGCCTACAACTCCCCAGCAGCTCGACACTTTAAAAAAGCAAGTCCACAATGTTGGGGACTAAAGTCTTACGTTTGCCCAAGGGCCGTGTGTCTACCAGGTGGGGGCTCCACTGTGCGACCCTGTGTACCCTCTCCCGGAGCCTGCACACCTGTGCTGCCCGGGCAGGGAAGTGCCAGAAGTCCCAACCTGGCTATTTATTCTTAATTGTGAAGAGCAGTTTTTGTGTGTGCTGTTTTTGCTGTCATTTTGGATTTATTCTGTGTCCTATAATGTCTGTTTCCCTAAGGGGTCTCACTGTTTTATTCTACTTGATGATGAATGCAGCACCATTCTTCTTCAATGTATCATTCCATGGACAGTAAACCATATGACTGTCCAATTTTAAATAACCATTACTGGTCCATTTCAGCTCACTAATGCCCTGTTGCTGTTGTGAAGTGCTGTTGAGTCGGTTCCAACCTATATAGTTTCTGAGTTGTGGCTGATGAACATAGCCCTTGAAGTTCAAATCAACCTTGAAGTTGAGTGCTTATATTCTGCTGCTACATCAGTGGTTTTTGGTGGTTAACCTTTTGAAGTAGTTTGTCTCTCATTCTTCCTAGTATGGCACAGACTGGAAGCTCCACTGAAATTTGTCCACCACAGGTGACCCTTATTATTTGTTGTTAAGTGCCATGGAGTCAGTTCTGACTCACAGCAACCTTGTATGGGGCTAGTGAGTCTGAACCACTGATGTTGCGGTTCAAACTGACCTTGCACATGAACCCACAGGTTATTTAATATACTAGTGGTATAGCTTCTAGCATCATAGTAACACACAAGCCCCCACAGTACAGTCAACTGACAGACAAGTGGTGGAAGTACATATTGGCTTAGTTTAAAGATAGAATGCATAATATTGTTAAGTGCTGTAGAGTTTGTTCTGACTCATAGCAATCCTTAATAGGGTTTAGTACTATTAAATTAGTAGCTAACACACTACTATTTAATTTCCTTTATGACAATAAATCTGAGGTAGTTATTTTTAGCCTCATTCTACACATGAATAAACTGAATTATCAAAGATGGACGTATCCTACTCATTTGTTTGTTAAACAAATGGTTCTGCTGGTACTTAAACTTAACATCTATTCATCTATTCACTACCCACCCTATCATGAGATTTCAGTACTAGAACACATACTATTCCACTACTCACAAATAAAAATGCATCTTTAATTGTGTCTATGTGTACCTACCTAGCAATGTACGTATGTATCTGATAAGGTGTAAGAGGAGATTCTGGTCCCAGTGCTATCTGTGTTCCTGTGATGGTGGCACATCTGTCTATGGGCCTTTAGCAGTATGGGCACCTTGGCAGCCTAGTTCCCATCTCAACAATCTGCTCAACAGCCTTATTATTAATGTGCAACCATACAGGGGCAAATGCAACACTGCTTCATCCCCATTCTCTTATTTATTCAAATGTTGCTATCATCTTATCCTCCCATCCTCATTCATTTGTTTAATAATAAAATGTAAAAAAGTGTGAAAGCAGCAACAAAAGAAAATAAAAAACTCACTGCACCAGATACTGATTTTTATCATTACAGCGCCTTGAAATATTTTCCTTAAAGCAAAAGGTAAATGAAAAACAACCCTTTATATATAGGATACTTTTAATACATTTGTCCATGTTTTGAGTGTTTTCATACACATTTAGCTAAAGAGAACTAGTTGGAAAAATACACTGCACAGCTCTACCCAAAGAATGATATACCACAAACACAACTCCACTTGATGTAGAGTTGATTTCAACTCAGGAACCCTACAGAACAGAGCAGACATGACTCAGAGGGTTTCCAGACTGTTAATCTTTAGGGAAGCAGACTCTTACATATTTCAGTAAGGATTCCTACCGAGAAAAACATGAATTGAAAGGGTAAGACCTAGATTTGTATCTCAATGCCTCTATGACTTCACCAAGGGATAATCATTGAACATATACAAATTAGTTAATGTTAGTCTGAAGAAACAAAACATAAGTAATCATGTTGTCAGTGGATGCTAACTGATGTTTCATGCTTTGAAGAGTCACAGATGTCCACATTTCATTTTTTATTAACAATATTTTACTCTTGTCAAATTCTTTATACTACAGATATTTTATTGTCTTCAGTTAATAACCTACCTTCAAAGGTTGATTTCTTCTAATTACAGCAAGTTCAATGTTTTTTCCACCAGACTGAACAACCTAACATAAAACAAGTGCAATATTATATTACTTTAGAAAATTTGGGATTTTAATTTTTAAAATTGGATGGAAAACATAAAACATTCTTTGCTAATAGTCCTCTATTAGCTCACTTACTTCTAGCAAAGCTCTTATTGCTATTTTGATAGCTTCATTGTCATTTGACATAGCATCTTCTGTGTAATTCTTTTCTAGAAATTCTCTAACAGTTTTAGCACTTCGGCCTATTGCATTTGCCTGAAAGTAAAAGATAATTATTAATATAATTGCAGTATGAATGAATTAATATATTTACTAAATGAAGTTTAAGAGTCTGAAGTTTGCTCCAGTATTCCTTAGTATAATTACAAATTCAAAGTCGTAGGTTTGAAACTCATTCGTTTACTCGATGAATAACCTGTAATGGTACGTAACTTTTATCTTCAAATGTATCAACGCTTTGTCCTAGACAATGCTTTCTATTAGCTTAATTTGATCTCAAGTCCTAGATAACCATAACCATAACCAAGACTGAGGCAGGAACTCCAAAAGATCTGGAAACAAAGGGTGGTATAAGGCATAGTGCAAAAGGAAAAGAGTAAAAAGACATAAACATGAAGATGAAAGCTATTAATATGAATAGGACTGAGCATCACTTTCTAAAATCTTAGAAGAAAGTACTGTTCTCAAGTGTTGTATACTCAGTTCCGACTCATATCAAGTCTGTATAGGGTGGGCTTCCAAGGATTTGAATCATTGAACTTGCAATTCAGTCCGGTGCTTATCTTACAGCAACACACCAGGATTCCAGAAGAAAGTGTGCCGTTGCTGTTAAGTGCTGTGACTGACTACTAACAACCCTGTACAAAGTTTCCAAGGAGCAGCTGGTGGGTTTGAACCATTAAACTGTGGCTCACAGTCCAGTGCTAAACTTACTGCACCACACCAGGAGTCCAGAATAAAGCACTGTTATTGTTAACTGCTGTCGAGTCGGTTCTAACTCAGAGAGACCCTGTATAAGGTTTCTGAGAGCGGCTGGTGACTGTAAACCGCCAACACCTTGTGGTTCAAACTGACCTTGCAGTCCAGCTCATTATCCTGCAGCACTACACCAGGATTCCCAGGAAAAGGCATAGTGGTCACATAATTAATGATTTGATACCTTCTTTGACCTACGTAATTATGAGTGTCTCTTCTGTCCCATTCCCTGTTTCTCTTTGTTCCCTAGAAATTTTCATTAGATGAAGGATAAAGACAAACAAGTTTTCCTGATTGTCTACAGATAGTATCTAAGTCTAAGTACGCAACCAAGAGATATTGATAGTGATGCTAATGATGCTAGTAATTGTTATTAACAGAGCCAGGTACTATGCTAAGTATTTTGTATGGATTATTTCTCACAAAACAATTCAACAGGTACTAATGCTAACAATTTATGGGTAAGAAAATGGGGGTATGAAATGGTTAAAAAAGGATCTTTCAATGTTAGCAGTACTGACATTTTGGGTTGGATATGTCTTTGTTGATGAGGTGTTCTGTGTATTGTAGGATGATGAGCAGTATTCCTGGCCTTTTACTCCCTAAGCTGCCAGCAGCAAACTTTTACCCCAGTTGTGACAACCAGAAGTCTGGTGGTGATGTGCTATGGAGTCAGTTCTAACCCTTAGTGACCCCGTACAGGGTTTCTGAGGCTGTAAATCTTTATGGAAGCAGAAAGCCTCATCTTTCTCCCTCAGAATGGCTGGTAGTTTTGAACTGCTGACCTTGAGGTTAGCAGCCCGATTCGTAACCACTATGCTACCAGAGCTCCTTAAAAACCTGTCTAGACAATGCCAAATGCCCCTTGGCAGGAGTAGAGGGAAATCCTGTTTGAGTACTACTGAAGTAAGGGATCTGTTCAAAATCATATAGGGAAAATTGGTTTTAAATCCCAGCTCTTCCATTAGTGAAATACAAGAGCTGGGATCTGAAATCAATTTGTCTGCATTGATAGCCCAAGCTTTTAAAATATGTTAAATAATTGATTGCATTTTTGGTGGAAGATTACACAGTAAATTAGGTTCCCAATTCCCAAATACTTAATTGTGCTCATGCAGAACCTGTTCCTTATTCTTGTGTACTTTTCAGTGTCTGTCATTATTTACCTAAATAATGTAAGTCTTAGGTTCTAAGACTCCACTAGCATTTGGTATTGCCTTTCCCATCACCAAAACCTAATCTGACACAGGATAAGAAAAGCACTGCTTAAAGAAGAATAAGGTTGGAGTCCTCTCACGCCCCGATTTCAAAATTTACTACACAGCTACAGTGGTCAAAACAGCCTGGTACTGGTACAATGAAAGATACATGGATCAATGGAACAAAACTGAGAATCCAGATATTAACCCATCCACATTCAGCCAACTGATTTTGGACAGAGTGCCTTGGATATTACATTGGGAGGAGGAGATAGTCTCTTTAACAGATGGTGCTGGCAGAACCGGAAAGCCATATGCAAAAGGTTGAAACAAGACCTTTACCTCATGCCCCATACAAAAACCAACTCAGCATGGATTAAAGACCTAAATGTGAATCCCAAAATTATGAAGGTCATCAATGAAAAATTAGGGACAAACGTGGGGGCTTTAATATAGGGAATACACAAACTACCAAACATTCTGAATATTACACAAACAAAAAGAGACAAAACAGATGATTGGGACATACTAAAAATTAAAAACTTATGTGCATCAAAACACTTCACCAGAAGAGTAAAAAGGGAAGCCACAGAATGGGAAAAAAGTCTTTTGCAATGACACATCAGACACGGGACTGATTTCTAAAATATATAGGAAACTACAACATCTCTACAAGAAAAAGACAAATAACCCAATTAAAAAATGGGCACAGGACCTGAACAGACACTTCACCAAAGAGGAGATCTGGGCAGACAACAAACATATGAAGGAATGTTCATGATCACTAGCCATTAGAGAGATGCAAATCAAAACAATGAGTATCTTCTCACACCAGCAATAACAGCAAAAGATCAAAAAAGTAGAGGACAGTAAGCGCTGGTGACGATGTGGACAGATTGGGACACTCCTGCATTGCTGGTGGGATTGCAAAATGGTCCAGCCTCTCTGGAAAGCAATATGGCACGTCCTCAGAAGGTTGGGAACAGAAATACCTTATGATCCAGCAATTTCTCTACTTGGTTATTTTCCCACAAGAAAAATGAGCCATACCACAAGTAAATATATGTACACCAATGTTCATAGCAGCACTATTTACAATAGCAAAAAAATGGAGACAGCCTAAGTGCCCATCAATTGAAGAATGGATAAACAAACTGTGGTACATACACATGATGGAAAACTATGCCACCCTGAAGAACAACAAGGAAGCTGCAAGCCACTGCATAACATGGATAAACCTTGAGGACATTATGCTGAGTGAAATTAGTTAGTCACAAAAGGAGAAATACTGCATAGGACCATTATTATAAAAGAGTAAGAAAAAGAACCCACACTAAAAGGGGAAAGAAAGAAGAAGAAGAAGAAGAAAAAAAAA